TAAACTAGACCCTATAGCAATTGGTCTAGCCCTGCCCATCCCATACTACCCGAGTCTAGCTTAGGGTGTGTTTGGAAACCTGGAAAATGAGTTCTGGAAATCATTTTCCAAGTTTCCAGTGTTTGGATGTGCCTGGAAAATCAAGTCAACGGAAATCATTTTCCGTTGACTTTGGAAAATAGGCTTGTTTTGGAGGAAAATGACTTCCCCTTTTTTTGGGGGGAAGTCATTTTCCAACTTTTACACCAACATCACACCACCACCAACATCATCAACACCATACCACCATCACCACCACTATACCCCCGCCACCATCACACTACCACCACAGCCACCACCAACACCGCAACCACTACTACCACCACCACCACCACCATACCACCGCAACCACCGTCGCCGCCACCACCACCATACCACTACAACCACCGTCGCCGCTACCACCGCCACCACCACCATACCACCACAACCACCATCGCCGCCACCACTACCACCATACCACCGCCACCGCCACCGCCATCACCACCATACCACCGCCACCACCACCACACCACCGCCACCACACCACCACCTTCACACCGCCGCCGCCGCCACCACCACCATACCACCGCAACCACCGTCGCCGCCACCACTACCACCATACCACCGTCGTCGCCATCACCACCATACCACCGCAACCACCGCCACCATACCACCGCAACCACCGTCGCCGCCACCACCACCACCGCAACCACACGACCACTGCAACCACAGTCGCCGCTACCACCACCATCACACCAACACCACTACCGCTGTCGCCGCCACCACCAGCATACTACCGCAACCACCGTCGCCGCTGCCACCACCATACCACCGCAACCACCACCACCACCATCACACCGCCGCCGCCGCCACCACCACGACCATACCACCGCAACCACCACCGTCGCCACCACCACCATACCACTGCCACCACACCACCACCGTCATACCACCACCAATTATTATTATTATTATTATTATTATTATTATTATTATTATTATTATTATTATTATTATTATTATTATTATTATTATTATTATTATTATATAACGAATAAAACCAGTACCACTACACCACCACCACCACCATAATATTTTTGATATATTATTAGTTTTTTTTTTTTTTTTGAAAAACTTAGCTATTGTTTATTATATTTAAAATTAATATTATATTATTATATATTATTATACATGTTGTAATATTCTAAATAAAATAATTAAAATGTTTAATTATACAATTCTACTCATTTTCCAGAAAATGAACCAAACACAGAAAAACAGTTTTCCATAATGCAACCAAACACTGGAAAGGAAAATATTTTCTGAAAAATGACTCATTTTTCAGAAGTCATTTTCCTGCTTTCCAAACGGACCCTTAATGGATTTTAGACTAATTCGTTTATTTGATATTGATACCTCTAATTATAATTAAGAAGTTAATATACTAGTAAATTGATCGTATCAATTCAAACACAAATTATCACATTTTTATATTCACTTTCTTTATCTACTAAAATAACAATAAAATGAATAGAATAAATTCAATAATTCATAGATGTGAAAATAAATATAGACAAATTATTGGGAATATTCTGCAATATTTAATTATTTCTTTGTTGATCAATCCGTATGATTTAGACCTAATAATTATGCCACACACCATGGGAAAGCTATAACCCATCTTAATCAGAGCAGCAGCCTCATGTCTGCTTGTCATAATGATTTCTCCATACCACACAAAAGAAATATTAAAAATGCAGATTAATATTCTTTAATTCAGCATTCCAAATTAATCAATTATTTCTTCATTCCGTCTCAATTTTTATATCATATTTAATATTATAAGAAATAACATACTTGTTTAATCATAATAATAAATAAACTATAGAGTTAATATTCGATTTGGTCCCTCGACTATTAAGATTTCACCACTTTGATTATCGACTTTTAAACTTGCTCAATTTCATCCCCAACTATGCAATTTTTAAACAAAATGGTCCTGAACATGACTATTTTTGTTTGAACAAATGGACTATCTTAGATAAAAAATTACATATTTGGAGATGAAATTGAACAAGTTTGAAAGTCGATAACCAAAATGGTGAAATCCTAATAGTCGAGGGACCAAATCGGGTAATAAGTCTAAACTATATAAATCTATCTCAGTATCGCTTGGAACTACAGTAGTTAACTTTTATACCTGTAAATTTATATTTAATATAATTAAATATCACTCATTTTAAAATTCTTAATTAACTCAAATTTTGAAGAATTAAATTTTAGAAAATTTATCAAAATAAAATTATATTAATTCCTAAAAAGAAACTATATATCATATTTAGAATTAAGACATATAATTATAAAAACTCATAGATGGAGAAAAATTCATACCTTTATGCATTGTGATTATAATGTTTAAACAATTAAAATTTGGCAATTTAATTCACACTCTTTGTATCATGTGACAATTATATCAAATTATATTATCAAACCCTTTAAAGTTTCAATTGGTATTGATCTCACGTAAAACATGTAATACTTTTTAAAGATCTCATAGAAAAATATTATATTTTCACTAAAAACTATTACGTGTTTAGCGTATAATAATGCCACACAAGTTTTTATGTTAGAACGTTGATCATTTGGAGTTGATAATTATTTGGTTGTTATTATATGACTTGAAGTTAATTTATATATGGGAATTTATTTTGAACCTTGTATATGATGTGAATCTTTTGATTCATTGTGTTTAAACATGATGTTGAGATGTAGCTTTTATAAATAATTTGTATGTGAGCTAATAACTAACATAGCAAAGTGGTTTTTTTTTTTTTTTTTTTTTTTTTAGTTGGATATTATAATTGAATATAATTATTAAATTTTAAAATTTAAATATAATTACTGTACATAAATAAATATAATTTTCAGAAAACATAAAATTTTATACAAAAAGCATTAAAATGTCAAAAATTTTAACTTTAAATATAATTATCATAGTATATAAATGTTTTTATTAGCTAAAAGTAAAAATAATATATAAAAAGAAAGAGAAAGAAATTAAAAGAATGAAGAAAGCTTGGTTGGAAAGCTAAGAAGGGAGCCCGCAAACAGTGACTTTTTCCCATGTGAATGGACATTCCAGAGGCTCACAATCTCCCACCGCCCTAAATGCAACCAAATACGAATTCATTACCAAGCACAATGCCCCACCTATGACCATGCCAAAGTTTGGTGGAATATGACAACTATTTTCATCAAGCAACACATTTTTATTGTCACATATGCCTGCATTATATTATAATATGTTCATACCGCTCTGACGCTGATATTAAATTAAAAGATATATTTTATCTTAATTTTTAATTAATTGAAATTCTAAATTGACAGTTGGATTGTACACTTATTCTTTAAATATTTGGTAAAATTAATTATTGAATTAGCTGATTAGTGTAAAAAGATAAAATGATAAATTAAGATATTAGGATTTTGATTAATGAAGGGTGTATAGCGCAAATTATGCTGTGGAAACGTGTTCACCATGCGCATGGTGAACACATGGGTAGATCCATAATTTCTATACTGTAGATTCATAAAATTTTTTTTATTTTTTTTTTGAAACGTAGATTCATAATTTTGTTTTTCATTTGTTGTTACAGAAATTATGAATCTACAGTATAGAAATTATGAATCTACAGTATAAATGTTATGAATCTACAGTATAGAAATTATGAATCTACAGCTTAGAAATTATGGATCTATCCCGTTAACAACAAATAAAAACAAAATTATGAGTCTACGTTTTTTTTAAAAAAAAAATATGAATCTACAGTATAGAAATTATGGATCTACCCCTGTGTTCACCATGCGCAAGGTGAACACGTTTCCACAGCATAACTATTGGGTGTATAGTGTCATTTTTGTAAATTAATAAAGATAAAAAAAAAAGAGAAAAAGTTAAAAATCAAATGCTTATTTTAAAACGCAAATTAAAGTAACTTTTCAAAATAAGCTATTATTTAAATTTCATGTTTTACCAAATAGAGCTTATAACCTACTTGTAACTTAAAATAAACTATAATCTCTATCGCGCAGACTCGCTTAATTTTATTGAAAGGAAATGAAGTTTCCCATGGTAGTCATTGGTTTTTAAAGATACAATGTATACATAGAGGGGCCCTTTCAATATGTGATGGCTTTCCAGGTGTTCCAATGGCAGCTAACCTTTTACCTTCCGTGCTTCTCTTTTACAACAAAGAATCCTTGTATCCTCCCTCCTTTTTCTTTGAATATGACTGCTGCTATCCCAAGGATCTTCATTCCCAATTCCTGTAACACCACCAATAAAGACAATCAATCAACAGTGTTGTATGCAAGATCTCAGTGCCCAACAATTCCACTCTTAGCATGTGTATCTATAGATTACAGGTAATCCATATTTAAGACAGGCTTTACCCATTGATGAAGAAATTAATTGAGAAGAAATGAAAATAAAAAGGAAAGAAAAGGGGTGGGGGGTTAAGATGATTAATTATCATGGGACAGAAAGTCAGTTAGTGGGGGCATTGTTTCAGTGATTTCACAACTAATCATCTTTAATACCCATTGATCTAAGAGAAAGTTTGAAGGCAACAATAATACAAGAGGATCACACTTTAGTTTACAATAGTTACATCATCAAAGCTAGTAGAATGGGTGTGCTTAGCTAGTGCACAGCATAATGACCTTTTTCCATTGCAGCAGAAAAAATACACAGTTAAGTACAAAAGACTATTGCACAATGGGCAGCATGAATTTTCATACCTGACTGAGATCTGCATCTGGTGCCAAGTCAGCATCTTATGGTGACAGCAGGTGGGGGAGGAGGGGGGTGGTGGCCGGTGGCCGCTCTGCCTTTTGCTTTTGAGTAAACTTCTCCTTCACCACCACCACCACCACCTCCGTTCATTACCTCTGCTTTTCGCCTTCTTTCAAACATTCTTTTTTCGACATTCTTTCCCACTTTTCTATCTCTACATTCTACAAAACCATCATTTTTTAAGACCACACCTTCTTCCTAGAAAGCTGTTTCCCTCTCTCTTTCATTTAGACTCATCAATATCATCCCATTCTGGCCTCCATGATCATATAGCTTCCTTCAATCACAAAACATGGTGAGATTTTTGGTGATCATATTCTTATTCCAATCCAGGTTCATTCTTTTCTTCCTAACTCAACTGCCTAATCCCAATTTTGAAATTCTTCGATGACTCAGGGAACTCCAGTAAACATCATAGTTGGATCCCATGTTTGGGTCGAGGATCCTGACATCGCCTGGATTGATGGAGAAGTTACAGAAATTAATGGCGCGGATGCTACTATTGTTACAACAAACGGGAAAACAGTAAGATAACTTTGTTTTCCACTAATCACTTTGTCAAAATTCTTATGAAATTCCAAGATCCATTCTTATTTTGCTGAATTTGCTCTGTAGCTATGCACAAGCATGCACAATTGCATATGACTATTAGATTTCAATAGTGTTCTATAGGAACATAAACAGTGCTTTAGTCTAACACACACTTCAAACAAATCTTCCCCCATTTTACTGCAAAAGAAGCATCTTCACTATTAGTATCACTTCAGAAACACTTCTCCCTGTATCGGCTCAAACACTGAAAACTAAGAACTAGATATCTATCGATTTCAGGTTATTGCATCTATTTCCAGTATATACCCAAAGGACACAGAAGCCCCGCCAGCAGGGGTTGATGACATGACAAAGTTAGCTTACCTCCATGAGCCGGGAGTTCTATCCAACCTTGCTTCTCGGTATGCGCTCAATGAAATATATGTAAGTCATGTCTGGAAAGTTACGCAATTAGACAAAGTCATCAAAATTTCTGCAACTCTGAATCCAATAATAAACTTTGAATTGTACAGACTTACACTGGGAATATTCTGATTGCGGTCAACCCTTTCCAGAGGCTGCCACATCTCTATGATATCCATATGATGAGGCAGTATAAAGGTGCTCCTTTCGGGGAGCTAAGTCCACATCTTTTTGCAGTTGCAGATACCTGCTTCAGGTTCTTCCATAATAAAGCAGATACATAATGCAAAAGCTTTTCAAATAGTTGCACATATTACAGAAAGTTAATGAGTGAATTCCATTTATCAGAGCAATGATTAACGAACACGGGAGCCAATCCATCCTAGTCAGTGGAGAGAGTGGAGCAGGTAAAACCGAGACAACAAAAATGTTAATGAGATACCTTGCATTCATGGGTGGTAGATCTGGCACAGAAGGAAGAACAGTTGAGCAACAAGTTCTGGAGGTTAGTAAAATCTACCCTTAGTTTAGTTCACTCTTTTTCTCTTGAACATGCAACAAAAATTCATATTTCTTCTTATTCAGTCCAACCCAGTGCTCGAAGCCTTTGGAAATGCCAAGACTGTCAAAAACAACAATTCCAGGTAGACCCAAATGATCTTCCTTATGAATTACGGGGTTTTTTTTTATTTTTTTTTATTTTTATGGATGGATTTACAAGAAATTTACATGATTGAATGGGGGTACCAGTCGTTTTGGTAAATTTGTAGAGATCCAATTCGATAAACATGGGAAGATCTCTGGGGCTGCAGTTAGGACTTACCTTCTTGAAAGATCACGTGTTTGCCAAGTCTCGGACCCAGAGAGGAACTACCATTGTTTCTACATGCTTTGTGCAGCACCTCCGGAGGTAACTTCTATCAAACCATTGCATTCACAGTCTTTGTCGTGATCGATTCGTTTGTCCTGTAGTAAAGCTTGTTCAGGTCATTCTCACAGGATGTGAAAAGATACAAAGTCGGAGATCCAAGAACATACCATTATCTTAATCAAAGTAACTGCTATGAAGTGGCAAACGTAGATGATGCAAGAGAGTATCTTGAAACCAGAAATGCCATGGATGTTGTTGGAATAGGACACGATGAGCAGGTTTGTTCCTAAACAAGTACACAAAATTAAAGCACATAATAATGCATTAATGCCTACTTATGGAGAAATTACTTACTTCTGTAGGATGCTATATTCCGTGTAGTGGCTGCAATACTACATCTTGGAAATATCAACTTCATCAAAGGGAAGGAAGTCGATTCCTCAGAATTAAAGGACGAAAAGTCCCTTTATCATCTTAAAACAGTAGCAGAGCTGCTCATGTGACTCTTCAATCCCTCGGCTTCCATAATCTTCTGTTCTCCATAATTACGTCTGTCTAATATACTTCTGTCCAGGTGCGATGAGAAGGCACTGAAGGACTCGCTTTGTAAACGTGTAATTGTAACTCCCGATGGAAACATTACAAAGCCACTAGATCCAGCTGCAGCAGCTACGAGTCGGGATGCCCTGGCAAAGACAATATACTCGAGATTATTTGATTGGTAAGTAAATTTATTTTGTGGTACTTTCATACTTGCTTCCCATCAAAACCATCTTTAATGTGTTCCTCCCATGAAACATGGCAGGATGGTAGACAAGATAAACAGTTCAATTGGTCAAGATCCCAATGCAAAAAGCATCATAGGAGTGCTTGACATTTACGGCTTTGAGAGCTTCAAAATTAACAGTTTCGAGCAGTTATGCATCAACTTAACAAATGAGAAGCTGCAACAGCATTTCAATCAGGTACCATGAGATTCTTTCATACACTCAGCAATAAGCAACAACTATGTTCATTCTTACCCAAAAAAAAAAAAAAAAACGAAAAAATTGTTAACTAGAAGGAACATTTTACAGCACGTATTCAAGATGGAACAAGAAGAATACACAAGAGAAGAAATCAACTGGAGTTATGTAGAATTTGTAGATAACCAAGATGTTTTGGACCTTATTGAGAAGGTACTCTTATTTAAGACTCTTTTCGTTGCTTTAACCCGTAATCTAGTTAGTAAGAGATTTTGTTTACGATTATCTGTCTTATATGCAGAAACCTGGAGGCATAGTAGCTCTTCTTGATGAAGCCTGGTATGCAGTTCTTCCATTTTAAATTTAATATAACTTGCAGAAATTTCATACTTCTTCTATGCATGCTTAATCATAATTCATCGCACATCCTCGTATACAGCTAAAGCTAAAGTTCTTTATTGTGCAGTATGTTCCCGAAGTCAACACATGAGACCTTTGCCCAAAAAATGTACCAAACATATAGAGGACACAAACGGTTTAGCAAACCAAAACTTGCTCGTACCGACTTCACAATCAATCATTATGCTGGTGATGTATGTAACTTTCAAATTTTACGACATTTCCAATTATACCAAACAGTTTTGTCATGCCAATTTTTTAATCAACCAGGTCACTTACCAAGCTGACCACTTCCTTGACAAAAATAAGGACTATGTGATAGCAGAACATCAAGCTCTTCTGACTGCCTCTCTCTGCACTTTTGTAGCAAATCTCTTCCCTCCATTACCTGAGGAAACATCCAAGCAGTCCAAGTTCTCTTCCATAGGTACCCGCTTTAAGGTTGGTGGAATCAAAAAATTAATGTAAGAGAAGTTTTCAAAATTTTGAAAATTCTTAGAACCTAAGTTTTCCATGCAAATGTTTACATATAGCAACAATTGCAATCTTTAATGGAGACCTTGAGCACTACGGAACCACACTATATCAGATGTGTAAAGCCCAACGCAGTTCTGAAGCCAGGAATATTCGAGAACGTAAATGTCTTAAACCAGCTAAGATGTGGGGTAAGATGAATTGCTTCCTAAAATATCTATTAGCACGATTATGATTATTCACAATTTGCTCGCACTGACAAGGTTTTATGTGGTATCTGTGTCAGGGTGTCTTGGAGGCAATTAGGATTAGTTGTGCGGGATATCCAACAAAAAGAACATTCGATGAGTTCCTTGACCGATTTGGTATGTTAGCTCCAGAAACTCTTGACGGGTATGTAGTTTCACATTTCTGAATCCTTGGTTTTATAACTTAGAGCAACCTTACCAACTAGATACTTAAATTTGTTTTTGTCTTGAAGCAGATGCGATGAAAAGTCTGCATGCATAGCAATTTGTGAGAGGATGGGTTTGAAGGGCTACCAGGTATTCAATCTAGACTGTATAGCCTTTCTATTATGTATGAAACTGCAGTGTCCCCTAAATCCACAGAATATGACGAGAATGAACTTACCACTATGTATTTCAGATAGGGAAAACAAAGGTGTTTCTCAGAGCTGGGCAGATGGCTGAATTAGATGCTAGAAGAACTGAAGTTCTGGCCCATGCTGCAAGGCTCGTTCAGAGACAAATTCGAACATATCTTACACGCAAAGAGTTCATTATTCTTCGAAAAGCTACAATTCGTCTGCAGAAACATTTGAGAGGTAAAATTATTTTCTGGAAAACCGTATATATAAAATAATTTAACAAGAAAATAGCAAGTCAAAGTAAGTACTTTTGTCCGATCATATTGAAATAAGTTCTATATTACAGCACGACTTGCACGAAAGCTGTATGAATGTATGAGGAGAGAAGCTGCTTCAATCCACATACAAAAGCATGCGCGTGCCCTTGCTGCAAGAAAATCTTACAAGCAACAACAAGCAGCAGCTATAGTTATTCAAACTGCAATGCGAGCAATGGCAGCAAGAAACGAATACAGGTGGAGAAGACAAAACAAGGCTGCTTGTATTATTCAGGTAATCAATTCTCACTGGCATAGTGAAAACAAATAAGGAGTTGAATCCAAAAATTACCAGACAAAACAAAACTTGTGGTCTAACTGATTGGTTTGATTTGCACCTCTTTTTCCCCCAGACAAAATGGAGAAAATACTATGCTCAATCTGTCTATAAACAGAAGAAGAAAGCAAATCTTGCACTTCAATGTCTCTGGAGAGCCAGGTTAGCAAGGAAGGAGCTCCGGAAACTACGCATGGTAAGTGTTTTTTTTTATTTTTATAAATATTTGGAAACCTGTCTGCCAATTCTGGTGATTCAAAATATAAAAATAAAAATTCCAATAAATGTAACAAGAGGACATGATTGTAAATATTTTCTCCTCCTGCAGGCTGCAAGAGAAACAGGAGCACTTAAGGAAGCAAAGGACAAGCTTGAAAAGCGTGTTGAAGAGCTAACATGGAGACTAGAACTTGAAAAGAATTTGAGGGTATGTTAGAATTACATAATTTATGAGACAAAGAACAAATAACAGCAGCCTACAGTACTAACCGTGAATGAAGCTTTGAGATATTTTATGAGAATTTTAAAACTAGTAAAGAAAAGTATGTGTGCATGATGGTATGACACAGAAGTAACAAAATGCGGAAACCATTGCAGATAGATCTTGAAGAAGCAAAGGGGCAGGAAATCGCAAAACTGCAAACAGCTTTACAAGAAATGCAAGGGCAACTAGAGGAAGCCCGTGCTGCAATTATTCATGAGAAAGAAGCTGCAAAGATAGCCATTGAACAAGCCCCACCTGTCATAAAAGAAGTACCTGTAGTGGATACCACTAAAGTGGAGCAGTTGACAAATGAAAACAATAAACTTGAGGTAAACTCAAGCAATTTTGTTGAATCAATTTTAATTTCAATGCTGGAAGAACAAAATCATAATATCCCAACGGTTCAGACAATGAACTGAAAACCGGTTCATAATATCTCCCCCGATGAGATTCATGATAAAAGCATAAATCACTTGCATAATACTTTTGTCTAACATATTATACAGCTCATAAATATAATGTATATTATACATGCAGGATGAAATATCAGAGCTGAGGAAGAGAGTAGATGAGTTTGAGAAGAGCTTGTCTGAAGCTGAAAAGGAGAGTCAGGCTAGACTTAAAGAGGCTGAAGAATCACAGCTGAAAGCTTTGCAACTTCAAGAGAACATTGAAAGGTATTTGAACTAGAAAATATAAAAATATATACAAGTAGCAAAATTATGAAATATGTTTTCCTGGCTTAATCCTTCTTGATGTTTGTTTACAGATTGGAGCTGAATCTATCCAACCTTGAATCAGAAAATCAGGTTCTACGCCAGCAGGCTTTAACTGCATCAACGAATGATGACCTTGCTGAAGAAATGGAAGTGTAAGAATCAGTCTAGAATAGTCATTACAAGTCAATGAATCAATTTTGGCTGCCTACAATTTTTAAAGATATTTTCTTAATCAGACTAAAGAGCAAGATCAAGGATCTGGAGTCAGAAAATGAGCTTCTCCGCACTCAAAGAGTAGTTGTAGAGCATGTAGCAAACTCCGACCAAGCAGATTCAGCATTAAAGGTAACAGCATGCCGATATTTATTTCTTTCTGAGTAGTGTTGAATGTAAAACTTCTATACGACTCACACTGTCCCTCAATGACTAGCAAATGCAAATTGTAAATGGATACCAAGTTCATGAAGATGTGAAGACAGAGGAAGTGCAGCAAGTGACAAAAGTGGAGCAACAAATAACAAAGGTACATTAAACTTCCATGTTATAAATTAAGATTGGGCTAAGGTCACTCAACTGGGTAATGCACATGGACCCATGGACTTATAAACCCATATGCTCTCACTTATTTTATCAATGTGGGACACTCTTAACATTCCAAGTGATAGTTTCCATGGATGGAGAGCTACTGCTATCAGATTTTACTGTTTACTTATAATAATGAGGAAATCTGTGTGACTCTCTGCAGGATTCCTATCCTCCCATCTCTTTAACGAAACAAAGATCACTGACAGATAGGCAGCAGGCAAGTAGTAGAAACTTGGTCTTTACAAGAAGTCTAATGGATAATATTTGAATGGACTTTATAATCATTCTTCTTTATTATCTTACCAGGAAAGCCATGACATACTCATAAAGTGTTTCATGGAAGAGAAACAATTTGACAAGGGCAGACCTATTTCTGCTTGCACTGTCTACAAAGCACTTCTTCAGTGGAGATCCTTCGAAGCAGAAAAAACAAACATATTTGACAGGATTATTCACACTATCCGGATGTCCGTAGAGGTAATAAAATTCAAACAGCATAAAAAACCTAGCCAATACATGATTCATCAGGGACCAAAAAAAGGTCGTAGGTGGACACTCACAGTTTTATGCATTAATCTGACTCTGCAGAGCCAAGATAACATCAATGATCTAGCATATTGGTTGTCAACAACTTCAACTCTGTTGTTCCTTCTACAAAGCACAATTAAAGCAAGTAACATGCCAACTAAAGCCACATCTCGCAATCGCAGCTCACCAACCACATTGTTTGGCAGAATGGCACAGGTAAAGGATTCTAACTTCAAGTTATTAACAGCATCAAGTCATCAACACGAAAAATTAACAATTTGGGAGTTATAACCAGGGATTCCGCACGCCTTTATCAAGCATGGGAATTTCCAGTGGATACAGTGGAATGGAAGGAAACCCAAGTGCCCGGTCAAGAATAGAAGCAAAATATCCAGCATTGTTGTTTAAGCAACACTTGACTGCATGCGTTGAGAAAATATATGGGATGATCCGTGATAGTTTAAAGAAAGAAATAAGTTCATTCCTAAATATGTGCATCCATGTAAGCACTTTTATTTATGCAGCAAGGGTGTCTACATTAATGCAGAGTGCATATATCTCAAACTAAACGCTAAAATTAAAATTAACAGGCACCGAGATCTGCAAGGATAAGACCACTAAGAGGTTCATCCAAAAGCATACATTCAAGCATGATTGCAAAACAACAGGCATCCAGTATACATTGGCAGAATATTGTCAAGAGCCTTGATCATACCTTAAGCATACTGTCTGAGAACTATGTAAGGAACTTTTTGTCATGCTTTTTTCAATACCACACAAAAATTACAAAATCAAAAAATGGTTTCTCCACTGTATTTGAGTTTTGTCCTCTTGTACAGGTCCCTTCAACAATCTCAAGGAAAATATTCAGCCAGGTTTTCTCATACATAAATGTCCAACTTTTCAATAGGTATGAAGCTCTTCTCTCATCATTCTAGGGATTTCATAACATTTCCTATCACTAAACATGTAATGGACTTACAGCTTATTGCTTCGGCGTGAGTGCTGCTCATTTAGCAATGGGGAATATCTAAAGGCTGGTTTGCTAGAACTGGAGCATTGGTGTGTTAGAGCATCAGAACAGGTAAAATGATCTATTTTTGTAAGAACTTTTAAAGAGGAACTTAATGAGAAAGTTTTCAACAGAAGTTATTTTTTAAATAGAAATTTTTTTGGGTATTTAACAATTAAAATTCTTTTTATATTAAAGATGATCAAGGTTACCATAACGGACATGCATTTATTAAGTTAGGCGTTAGAATTCTTTAAATGTATGGAGCTATTTGGAATTCCAAAAGTGTCATTAAATTTCCTAGACTTAACACCGAAGAACTTATTTGAAAAGTTTCAATTTGAGGATATTGGCTTACATAAGTTTTTTCCTCTTATCTACTTAAAAGCGTTTCCTTAACAATTAATGTTTAGGCCAACTTTTAGTTTTCGGAGTGGCTTACATAAGTTTTTTATGTTGGCATCCAGTATGTTGGATCATCATGGGATGAGCTTCAGCACATCAGGCAAGCTGTCGGGTTTCTGGTGAGTGTTACTTTAAGCAATTATTCCTGCAAACAACAATTGACTGAAATTGTGTATTTATTAGAATATGCCTTGAAATTGCAGGTGTCGCATCAGAAAGCTCAAAAATCGTTGGAGGAAATAACAACTGAACTGTGCCCGGTAATTTAACTTGGCTTCATTGTATTCAAAATATTCTTATCCCCCAACTAAACCCACACCCACACCCACACCCACTAGTCCTCTTCCAAAGCTGAGGATATATTCAATGATTCCTACAACTAAAGTCACTCAGAAAAGAAAGGCTAACTAAACTCTGTTCTGCATGAACTTTCATTCTTTTTTAGATGTTGAGCATACCACAAATATACCGCATTGGAACTATGTTTTGGGATGACAAATATGGAACTCAGGGATTATCTAAGGAGGTAAGCAGTGTTGTACGTCCTTACAGATTAACATAGATAGAACGAATACAATTTGTCTGAACATCACTGTTTAATGTCTAAAACTTCAGATAATTAGCAAGATGAAAGTACTAACAGTAGAAGATTCATCCAATGTGCCAAATAACACATTCTTGCTTGATGTGGATTCAAGGTACTTAGTAAACTGAACACTTAAAAAAAATCACTGAACAAAAGATAACTGCTCTTTGCGACTTTGCTAACTAATTTGTGAAATAACAGCATACCATTCTCAATTGAAGAGATATCGCAATCTTTCTGTGGTATCAGCCTATCTGATGTTGATCCGCCTCCTCTCCTCCGCCAAAGATCAGACTTCCATTTCCTACTGCAGTCAACAGACTAAAAGTTTCGATATTTTTTCTTCTTCATTTACCTACTCCACACAGAAAGAGGAATGATACAGCTACAGGTCTACAGCAATTCATTGATTTGATTTGATTTTTTTCTCTTTTTTTTTTTTTTTTTTTTTTTTTTTGGGTTGATAGAAAGTGAATGACGAGTGTTGGGTTCTAAATCTTTGTATTTTTTGACGAGTGTTACAATGTATATCCTTTCTTTGGTGTTCTACATTTTTCTCATGCATTTGGATGGTGATTCTACAAAATTTTGGTGTGCGGAATTGAATTGTAGTAAAAGAGAATGGAGTGAATGAGAAAACAGAAAATTCATCGTCCCAATTCAAACAGAACTTTCTATTTTCAAATCTAAAACTTCTTAATTTTTTCCCTCCCCTACTGATCAAAGAATCTTATGAATGATTATATAGCAGTTTTGCATGTGTAAAAGCATATATTCCAATCTAATTAAAATGCAACATTATATATATCACTGTAAGACAAATTTTTCAACAAGATTTTATGATTGAATCTCATGAACGAATTGAATTTTACAGTAATTCAGTTTCAAAGTCTAATATGATTACATGATATCAAAAGTCTCTGAGAGTACTACAAGATTTAAACAATAAATGTATACACCAATGAGTTAGATAAATACGGAATATTCAAATAATGGAGATTACCTCAATGTAGATTTAGTTGCCACTTATTGAAGAGAAGTTTTTTTTTATACCTATGGAATGATAAATATCCGTAAGGAACATTCAACAAGCACTTACAGCGCGTGCAAATTGATCACTCCGACATTCATCAATGTAATGGTTGGGGAAATTTTAAAAAGAAGAATTCAAAGAAGTTGGGGGGTGAGATGAACTGCATAGAAGAAGGGTGAAAAGGAGAGAATGAAGACTATATATATCATTCCATAAGCATGGCAAAACAACCCTTCTATATATATCGAGCTAATACCTAATTTAATCATCAATTATAGTGATTTTTTTCTATTTAGTCTCAAACAATTTTTTGTGCTTAGTTAGATCTTGACTTTAATGATTTTATCAGATTGAAATCTCGATTATAGAATAAAAGACTAAGGGGGTGTATTCCGCAAATTATGCCGTGGAAACGTGCTCACCATGCTTGGTGAACACGCTTCCAAACGACGTCGTTTTTGGCGTCGTTTAAAAAAAAAAAAAAAAAAAAAAAAAAACTGTTCTATTAACGGCGTTAGGAAGGCAGTTATGATCAGACAACTCTTTGCGTTTGATTATTTCCTATTCGCAAATCGCTGAAGGCAATTGTGATCCGACATTCGCGATTCTTTCCTATTCGTGATGGAGGAGACGATGGTTCGAGGAGAAGATTCAACCGATATGATTTCTGCGATTCCAGGTTGCGTTTGATTTTATGCGTTTGATTTCGTTTGATTTATGAGATCATGGATTGTTGAAGATTTAGTTATTTTTATTGATATTTGTTCAGTATCTATGCAGTTTGAATGTTCATAATGGCCGTAAATGTGTATTAGTTCCATGTTTCTGTTATGAATTTTACAAAATGCAATTATGTATTTTCTGTTACAGAGTTATGAATTTTGATACTCTGTTCATGCATGTGATATGAATATTCATAATGTAATAGTAATATGTCCATAACATATTAACTGGTGTGTTACACTGCTTGCATATACTCAGTGAATGAAGATTGTGTTGGTGATTCAATAAGCAATGATCAAGCAGAGTTAAACATTGACATTGATGGCTCGTCTTCAAGTCCAGGTTCTTTTTATTAGTTGGTGTATCATGAATGTTGTTTCTTGTAGGTGTAGGTACTGATTCATGGTGATTATATGCAAATTGAATGTTGTGATTGGTATTAATAATCTGTTCACGTTATGAATTTACAGTTTGAGGTTATGAATTTTCCGTTATGTTATTATGAATTTTCCATATGAGGTTATGAATTTTATGTTATGAGGTTATGCATTTAATGCCATGAGTATCTATGCAACTTTGAATGCTCATAATGTCACAAATGTTATTGATATCCGGTTTTTGTTATGAACTTTCTTATATGATGTTATGAATTTTATTCTTTGTGATTATGAATGTTCTCACATGAGATTATGAATTCTATAGTGTAGCATATTACATTCATTATAGGTGAAATCCACATTCATAGTTTAGTAGTTGGTATAGGTGTGGTTATATTTTTGTTGCAATTGCAGTTGATGAAGACTTGGTGGGTGTTGTAGTAAGAAATGTTGACGAAGCTTTTGAGTTATATAATGGATATGCATACAGAGTTGGTTTTAGTGTGAGGAAAGGCCAACAACGTTATAAGGCATCTACTAAGTCAATTCAGATGAAGAGGTTCTTCTGTGCTAAGGCTGGGTATAAGCAGAAACCAAACAGTGGTGTTAAGCTTTATTCAAAGATTGATATGAGGACTGGATGTGGTGCATTTGTTCAGTTTGATGTGGGGGGTGATGGGATGTGGACAGTTACAAAACACTTGAAAGAGCACAATCACGAGTTATGTTCATTTGGCAAGAGTCATCTGCTTCGGTCGCATAGAAGAGTGGGAAACAATCAGCTTGAATATTTAAAAGACATGAAGAGTAGTGGTGTTGCATTGGCGGATGGTATGAGGTTTTTGAAACATCAGTCAGGGGGCTCTCCATTGGTTGGCTTTACCAACCGCGATGCTTACAATTCGATGGCTTTTGTGAGTTTGAAGTGTTTGGATGGATCGGATTCAAATTCTTTGGTTGAGATATTCAGGAGGAGGCAATCTAATGAGGCTGATTTCTTTTTTGATTTCGAAGTTGATTTGGATGGAAGATTGTGTAGTTTTTTTTGGAGGGATGGTCAAATGAGAAGGGATTATGAGGTGTTTGGTGATCTGTTAGTGCATGATACAACATACCGCACTAACAAATATGATATGATTTGTGGTCCTTTTGTAGGGATGAACCATCATTGCATGAATGTAATGTTTGGTTGTGGTTTTTTGATGAATGAGAGGATAGAGTCATTTGCGTGGTTGTTTAGAGCGTTTTTAAGATCCATGGATGGCAAGTGTCCACAGACTATCATGACGGATCAATGTTCAGCTATGGCTGCTGGCATTTCCATGGTGTTTCCTACATCACGCCACCGTCTTTGCATATGGCATATTGGTGAGAATTCGAAGAAGCATATTAAGGCATTGAGGAATCATAAGGATTTTCTGGATATGTTTAATTGTGTGTTGAAATACACCGAGACTGAAGCTGAATTTGAGGTTTACTGGACAAGGTATGTTATTATGAATTTACATTATATAATTCTGAATTTTCTGTCATGTCATTATGGATTTTCTGTTATGTCATTATGTATTTTCTGTTATATGATTTATGAATTTTCTAATATGAGATTATGAATTCACAGTTATACAATTCTGGATTTCCTGTTATGTCATTATGTATTTTCTGTTATGTCATTATGTATTTTCTGTTATATGATTTATGAACTTTGTAATATGAGATTATGAATTCACAGTATTCAATTATGTATTTTCTGTTATGTCATTATGTATTTTCTGTTACATGATTATGAACTTTGTAATATGAGATTATGAATTTTCAGAATATGAGTAATAAACATGTGTTTTAACCTTTTCAGGATGGTTACAAAATATAATTGTCATAAGAATACATGGCTAGAGAAGCTTTATGACTGTAGGGAGAAGTGGTGTCCAGCGTTCAACAAGGATTATTTCTCCGGGGGTATTTTATCTTCGCAAAGGAGTGAAAGCACAAATCATGCAATTTCTAGGAGGCTGTCCAAGACTGCTGGTTTATGTGATTTTTATTCATCATTTGTGAGTGTTATATCTGAATGGAGAAGTAAGGAAAATGGCGAGGATTTCCGGTGTTCTCAAGGAGTACCCGCCATGATGTTGGATCATGTGAAACTCCTTTCACATGCTAGAGAGGTTTATACAATTGAGATATATTTTTTGTTCGAGGAACAATTTATGAAAGGTAGCTCTTGTTATCAAGAAATGGTGTTGAACGATGGTTGTATGTGCAAGTATCACGTGTGGCGACCAGACATAGACATCATAAGGCATGAAGTAACCTTTAAGGCAATCAATTTGGATATATGTTGTAGTTGCAAGCTGTTTTCAGAATTGGGAATACTTTGCTGCCACTGCTTACGTATACTTCATGTGCACTGTGTTTCCAGTATTCCCGATAAATACATTCTAAAAAGATGGACTAAAAAGGCTGTTGAGCGTACAAACGTGGACATTGCATCTGTGTTTTATAATGGTGGTGTCCCTTCTTCAATTTGGGCTGTTGAGATTAGTAGGAAATTTCAAAGGCTTATTGTTTCTAGCCAAGATAACAGTGTTGCTAGACAATTATGTGATGAAGCCGTTGAGAATGCAAGGAAAAACATTGAAGCTGAGATTGGGGATGTGAACACTGAGGAGGGTGCTGTGTCTTCGTCAAGTGGTATTGTCCAAGACCCCTCAAGCCGGAGGGGTAAAGGTGTGAGAAATAAAAGGAGTAGTAGTGTTATTGAGAAGAAGTACAATGCAGCAAGGGGAAGAAAGAGCGCTGCAAACAAGCTTGCTTCAATTACAAAGGGCTCTGTCCAATCATTGGTCTTGGAAAATATTTCAGAGATTGCTCGTGATGGATATCTTGTACATCCAAGCACCGGGGGTTCACAATTTGTTCATTTTAATAAGAATGTAGACCACGATGTAGCTATAGACTGAGATCATGTTAACAGTATGTACTTATGAATTTTATGATTTTTAGATATAGGTTGAGAATTATGTGTCAGATTATGAATTTTCCTTTGCCAGTTTATGAACTTTCATTTACCAGTTTATGAACTTTCCTTTACCAGTTTATGAATTTTCCTCTATGTGATTATAAATTTTCCTCTATGTCTCAGATTATGAATCTTCCTTTATCTGATTATGAATTTTCCTTTATGTGATTATGAATTTTCCTATATGTGATTATGAATTTAGAGTATGTGCTTATGTATTTTATGCTATTCAGATTTTATGAGAATTATGTGCCAGATTATGAATTTTCCGTTGCCAGTTTATGAACTTTCATTTACCAGTTTATGAACTTTCCCTTACCAGTTTATGAATTTTCCTCTATGTGATTATGAATTTTCCTCTATGTCTCAGATTATGAATCTTCCTTTATCTGATTATGAATCTTCCTTTATGTGATTATGAATTTTCCTATATGTGATTATGAATTTAGAGTATGTGCTTATGTATTTTATGCTATTCAGATTTTATGAGAATTATGTGTCAGATTA